GCCCAATGGCACAGGTGCAGTGTGGCTTGGCAAGATGCTGTGCACTGTCTGGGAGCTGGGGCAGCTCCACCTGTCAGCTGGAGGTGCCGGGTCAACCCCCAGCTCTTCCTGGGGGGTGCAGCCCCTGGATCTGCACATGGGATTTCAGCAGGCTGCTGCTGCCAGCTGGGGAAATAGCCCACAGCCAACAGCATCCCCACCTGGCAGCGGCAGCCTGCTGTCATTCTGCATCATGTGGGGGCCCACGCCCCCCAGGAAGAGCTGGGGGAAGCGACCGGGGACTTGGGGAATCGAACTGGGAACTGGGGGATTGTTCAGGGACCTGAACATTACCCCAGCCCCCTGTTCAATTTTCCTGGGAGCTGCAGTGGCTCCACGTGTAAGCTGGAGCCTGGCAGCACTCAGCCCCAGTGGCCCCAGTTCCCAGGCAGCATGCAGAGTGATCCCTGCTGACCCCTATTACCCTGTGCTGCATGTGCGGGGGGGGCTCTGCTACAAGCACCCAGGGGCCCCAATCACCACTTCTGCAGCTGGTGAGTGTGGGCCTTTTGTTTCTGGGTTTTTTTAAGTGCCAGGAGGCTGGGGCTGGGTGGGGTGGAGCCAGGAAGCCACAGGGAACTCTCCTGCAGCTCCCCCCGCCCAGGGAGAAGCAGGCACAGGAGAACCTGCAGCCACCCGGCTGTGCCTGCCTCTCCCTGGCCAATCCAAATCATCAAATCTCTCCAAATTGGTGCTGAATCTTCTGAAGCGGCTTCGGACGAATCGATTCAGGACAGTGATCCAAATCGAATTGCTGTCCTCCAAATTGGCCAAATCCAAATCGAATACTTCCCTATTCACACAGGCTTAGTGCTTATGGAAGGCATAGCCTGTAGTTGATCCAGGAATAGGGGAAGGGGAAGTGCGGCCTCCTCATTTGGCTGTCTCATAGATGTACAGTGAGATCTGATCTCATTGCCTGGTTAGCATGGGCTCCTGTCAGAGCTCTGTGAGCTCTGAGCTCACCAGTTATTTGGGATGGGGTCTGGCCAGAGCCCCACGGTTCTGGAGCTCAGGGGGTGAGCACTACTACTGTTCAGTGAGGAGAAGGAGGAAAGGGAAGGCTGAATTCAGCAGCATGGAGGCAGGAGGGAAGGAGCTCATCCCCTGGGCTCTGGATCTGCGCAAAAATAGGGGCTCCAGCCAGACCCCATGCCAAGAGCTCACATGTAATGCAGTCAAAGGTAAGTGTGAACAGGCCCCCTGGATCTACTCCTAGGTATAGTATGATCAAACAGGAAGTTCTGGCCAGTCAGTGTGTGTTATATCTAGTTATGTATTTGGAATTACCAGGCTAATTTATAAAGATAGCTCTCTAGTGTGGAAGACATCTGGTAATTCTATGTCTCAAGGCTTTGCTGCCCATTATTTGGCACGAGGAAAGATTTTTTTTCTTTTGCTGAATGCTACTGGCTCTGGTAGGGGGGAAGAGGTCACGTTCTTCTGAGGCCTGGGGAAGTTGGCCACAACTACAGCTGGAGGGTTTTGACTGAGGTATGCCAACTGGCTACAGGCTTAAGTTATTCTGTTTTCTGAAAGGCTTAGACTATCTTGAATTTCCTAGAGTAGTCTATCGCTTTCTGTGCATGTGTGCATCTTAAAGGGCTCTTTTTTTTACCAGAAATTTCAGACTATCTGTAATTTCATATTCATTTTCAATGTGTGTGTTTCTCTCTGTACACAGCCTCAGAGAAATGTTGCTGATATCAGAATCATTAGTGCTAAAAAAACTGATCAACCTACCCCCTGACGTGCTATTTATCCAATTTTGCTTTTAAGCATTCAAAGAGATTAAGTCAATTATCTCTTTAAAATTAATTTTGTATTTAAAGGGTTCAAGTGCATTGGCCAAGAACAATGGAGCCGTGAGGGAGAGTTTAAAGAAGTAATTAGGCAGAAAGGGACTGAGAATGTGCCTCCATGTACAGAATACTTTCTACAAGGAACCCATGAGAGGGTAAGAAGAATCATCTCAAGCAGGTGGAGTAGGAAGACAGTATCTGCACAACTGGAAAAGTAATGAAAGGCACCTGAAATTAAAAAAGAAATGATGAACAGTGGCTCTTTAAGGCTTTGGTGAAGAAATGTTTGGGATGGTTTTATATAAATAAATGTGCATTGTACTGCCAAGAATGGTACATGGAGGGGATCAGAAGCATGTTGCAATTTTAAAATTTATAATTCATTTATAATTCAAAGGCACAATAGGTATAAATAAAATATGATGCAAAAATCAATTTGGGTAAATATTGAGGGATAGAGGCTCTTTAGAAGAGATCAGAGAGGAAAAGGAGAAATTGCTATTTTGTATAGCGGGCAATGGAACATTCACCAGTAATTGAGATAAGAGACTTTATAAGAGTTGCATGTGGAGTAGAATCCTGATAACTCAAATATAAAAGCAGACTCTTATCCTCAGATCCTTGTGGTAGATTTTAAAGACCAGTTAAAACAAACATCAGTCTGTCAGGGATGGTGGCCAAGCCTGCCTCAGAGCTGGGGCATAATATAGATGACCTTGAGACTCTCTTCCACCCTCTGTTTCCATAATTCTGTGATCTCTCTTGTACACTGCAGTTGAATAATTCTGGAGCTTCCCTTGATATCAGTGAGAGCTCTGTATAGCAAAAAGGCCTACTGTCCGAATTGCTGCTGTAATACTTTGTTTTTATAACTGTGTCATTACAGTGATTTCATAATAATGCTGAATAATAAACTCCCAATAAACCATAAAGATCTTTTGCCTCCTTAAAATCTGAAGCATTGATCTTCACATGGGACTTTAGCCTAAAGCAAGAAGTCGATCTAAATAATTTCTACAAAAATTGTTTTCCAGTTGTTTAATCTGTTTTATTCAAATATCTTATTACTGTGAATCAGTTCTTTTAAACAGATTTTTATTTGAATTACTGTATTTATTCAAATATAAGATGAGGTTTCCCCACCCAGTCAGCACGGGGGGAAAATTCCCTCATCTTACATTCACATACAAGGAAACTGCAATACTACTGTCTAACTTTGAACTGCTGCTAAAAGCAGCATATGCTCAGTAATGGAAACCAGCTATGAAACTGATTAAATGCAGTCAACACTGAGCAAGACTATAAAGCACATGGCTCATATTGCCCAAACAATGGGAACCTTATTTATTTGTTTATTTACAAATGTTGTTAAAAACACCCTTATCACCCATAACATCCTTGTTTTACCAAAACTTCATATCGCAAAAACATACAGGACTCATGACAAGAACACTCTGTTCCAGTCATGAGGGGGACTAATTAGCACATGGACTCTTTTGTGGGGGCAGTATCTAGAATACACGCACATACTGACCAGTTCTGAGCTGTGGGGTCACCATGGCTTGAAATGCTGTCGACTCTGCTGGGACCCAGCCCAGTGAACTGTATGCTACATCATGAGCCTTTTGGCTTTGGACTAATATCATGCATAGTTTGTACTATATATAAGTAGATGCCAAAGTGATACTTAAAAGTGTATTTATGGAATATCTGGCAGCAGTTTCAAAAAATGTAAAATGCATCAATTCTGGACAAACTAAGTCTATGGGTACTATATGCAAATTACTACAGCTATTTTTATTTCAAGGTCACTTTTTCCAAATTTGTTTCGCACTTCCGTGTGCTCAGGGACAGCAGGGTCTGACAGTAAGAAGAGGAGGAAAGAGCTGCAGGGGTGTCAGCTGCAGTCCTGGGCAATGCCCCAATCCCCAGTGGGAACCTACTGGTAGTGTCCACAGCTGATGCCAGCATCCACCTGGTATTGCTTCTGGTATGTGGGGCAGGAGCTGGGAGCCTGGTGTAAGCTGCAGACAGGGCCAACATGTGCCTGCCTGCCTGGCATGGTGCAGCAGCTGGAGCCTCTGGCTCCTTGCAGGCTGGATCTTATGACTTTGGCTGTCTAGCCCTGCTCCTAACTGTATCTTGTTGTTGTTGTTGTTGTTCCTTCTTACTTGGCCTTTAGTTAATTTTTTTTCACTCATGTCTTCCAACCTACAAGACAAGATTTTGCTATTAGTATTGTGTAACACTGAAAAGGAAAGGATGTTTCAGGGAAGAACTTCAAGGAGAGTTGGTTCAGACTCAGATCAATGTCCACAGTGGTTGCACATTTGGAATACAGGCGGACTGCAGCTCAAGTCTCGTGAGTGGCAATAGCTTTGCAAGTTATTTCTAAAATGGCAGGAAACAAAGATGCTAAAGTGCCACCATTTAGAAGAATGCAAGAAGTCTTGGGTGAATTTGATTGACAAGGTGGGTTGGGGGCAGAAAGGACATGAGAGAGGCTGGCAGGAGATGAAAAGTGTTGACACATATATCACTGTCTATCCAAGGGTTATATATGCCGCCTAGTAATAAATACACTAGGAGTTAAAATAGGGCAATGTGGATGAGTATGGAAGTGCAGAAAGTAATCAAGGATGAGAAAGAGATATATGTGAGGTATAAAATGTCAGGTGCTGAGAGAGGCTGGTAAGATTACAGAATGGAGTCAGAAGAGTGTGAAAAATAACCAGAAAAGCAAAAAATAAAGAATGAAAGAAATATTGTACAAAAGCTTGAGGTAAATAAGAAATTCTTCAGATATTCAAGGGGCAAGAGATGGTTGGAAGAAATAGTAAAGCTTCTAAGGGCAATTTATTGATCTGTGTTGGACTCTGCTAACCAAAAAAAAAAAAAATGTAATGAACTATATTCCATAGTGCTCACAAAAGATGATGGCAGAAAGAGAAGCTAGGATATAGCCGACACAAATTTAGATAGGGGGAGAAAGAAAACTATGGGAGGAAAACAAGGAAAGTTTGATCAAAATATCACAACATTTGAAGCATGACACAACTACATGGTCCCTGAAGGTCACAATTCTGAAAACGGTAACAGAAAAAGGAGGGAGAAATGAACCAAGGAGAGTGGGGGGAGGGAAGAGAGACAGACTCCTTTAAAAGGGTCTATATATCACCCTTTTGGCAATAAAATAAGTAGACACAAGAAAGTTCACAAGGAGCCTGAGGCCGCATCCAGATGAATGCGGCCATTCAGTATGTGGCACTGCAGATGCGTCTGTGGCACGACATACTGTACATTCAGCTGTTCTCCATTCTGCAAGGAAGCAGTGTGAGGGTGGGGGCAGGGTTGACCCCTGGATATCCAGGGGGTCAAAAAACCATGCCAAAAAAAAAAAGCA